TTGCCATAACCTGCTGATTGGTATTCTGCCTTCCATTCTCTCCTCACTTCAATCCGTGCTGAAGACTGCTTGCCAGAATTTTCCTTGAATAATATCCCACTCATGCACTTTTTGGCCATTAAAACCTTTAATGCCTTCCCATTGCCGACAACATTAATTAAAACTCTCTCTTCTGGCATTCGAGTCCCTACACCATGCGATTGCTTAGGACAGTAATTCAAATCACCTAGGAAGTTTGGTAAAAATTCAAATTAGGTGGTCCCCCCTGAGATTCTGTATTCAGTAGTCTGAGGTGGAGTCTGGGCGTCTACTCTTACTATGGGACCCAGGCCGTTCTGATGCAGTGGCCCGTGGACCCCACTCAGCACACCCTGTCTTAGAGGCACTCCAAGAACACTGAGCCCACTGTTAAATGATGCGTCTACCAGGCACCCAGCCACTCATCCCATTGTGTCCCCACCCCGTCTCCCTGCCGCACACCTGCCGCACCACTGTCAGCTGAACCAAGTGGGTGGGGAGCAGACCCCCGCAAAGGGTGGGCCAAGCAAGGCCTTTACTCCCAGCCAGATTTCTGAAGGCAGCCCCCCACCCCCTCAGAAAGACCTTCAGTGACTAAAGGCCTAGCTTAGAAAAGCAAACAGTAGACCCTCTAAACCTGACACTTCTTTGATCTCAAAACATGAGACTCATTTAGACATACTGCTTTTGTTGGCCAACCAGGACTCTGATCCTGAATCTACCACCTACTATCTCATGACGAGGTAACTCTTGAATCTCTCTTATCCTCAATTTCTCATCTGTAAAATGGGGACAAGTTCTTCCTAGAGCTGTTGGGTACATGAGGGATAATATATAGAATGTGTCCAGCTCAATGCCTAAATGCCATAGACGCACAATTATATATTACTATTACATTATTGATGGTCAGAATTAGAGTTTTCAGAAATCATCTACACACAATTTTTAAAGAAAAGGAGGTCATGAGATGCGAAGAGGTGCCCAAAGTGCCACAGCTACCTAGCGGCAGGTCTAGGACTAGAACCCAGATCTCCTCCCACCCAGTCCAGCATTCATTCCATCCTGTCAGACTTCCATCTTGGACACACACTCATTCATTCACTCACGCGTCCATGGACAGAGGAATGCTCTGGCTTCCTTCTCCTCCTTTGTCGCCCTGGCCCTGTGGCAGGGAAGGAAGGCAGGATGGCTGAGGGTGTATCAGAGAGACAGTGACTGAGAGTCAGGGCTGGGGGAGGGAGATGTGGCCAGATGGCCAGACCAGCGTTTGGCTGGGAAGGTCCCCAGTGACGTGTGTCTGCTCCTGTGACTCCCTAGGGGTATCATAGGAGCAAAGGGTGGAAACAATCTGCTAAAAGTCTATTGTCCTGGAGGCCCCCCCCAGGATGCCACCCCCAACACATTCACCCCAGGCCTTCCCCAGTGGTCTAGAAGGTGTGACTGAAAGTGCCGGAAACTCAACAGGGAACACATGGACTTGGGGGTAGCAGTAGATCTGAAGCTGCATTTATTGCCTCTTTCCCAGACTCAGAGGACAGACATGTTGTAAACCCTCCTCATCATCACTCCCGGGGGCCCAGGAGAAACCCCCTTCGTTTCCAGACGGAACACAAGAACGGAGGCCCTGCGACCCTGGGAACTTCCCCAGATGTTGTTTCGGCAGAGCCATAAGGGGGCTGGGCCTCCTGGGGTGGGTAGGAAGCTGGCATTGCAGCTGGGGCAGCCAGAGACCCCATGGGCGGGGGCAAAGTGTGGAGAAAGAGGGACAGGAGGAAGTATCTGAAGAGGGGGGACTGCAGCTTCCCACCTCGGGCCCCTGGCTCTGCGCCCAGGGTGTTTCCCAACTGCACTGTGGCTCTGAGCCGGGGATGGGTGGGGGCGGGGGAGCATTTGATCCACAAGCTACAGAGGAAGGAGCCTGGCAGCCAAACCAGGACTCACCTCCCCGAGCCTCAGTTTGCGTATCTGAAACAAGAGAGTGTGGATGGCAGTGTCACCCTGTCTCTTCTTCAATCTGTGATCTCTGGCCACACCAATGACTGTGATCACCAGCCATTCTGGAGCTCTCCTGATGCGGTGACAGATAGGCAGGAGGCCCACTGCCCGAGATGATACCCCATATTCAGTTAGGGTCCTGTCAATAATCCTTCTGAAATACCTTCTACTCGGCATCACTAAAGCAACCTGCCACCAGATCTTCCCTGGGTAACTGCAGGGTCCCTAAATGGCCTCTCTGCCTGGAGGGCTCCCCTGCATGCCCTTTCCTGGGTCCACACTGCGCTGTCAGACCTCCTTCTCACCACAGATTTAGCTGGTCTCTCTCCTGTTTAAAAAAACCTTTGAAGGCTTCCTACAGGTAGAGGTTCAAATTCAGAGTTGAGCCTTCAGGCCTTTATAATCTGGGCCAATCTCTAAACTCAGTTCTAAAGCCCATTCTCAGTTTCAGAATGTACTTCGCTACCAGTTGCACTTGGATATCTTTGTGCCTTTGCCCATTTTATTTGCATATCTCTCTGTTCACTGCTTTGCCCATCAAAAAGCCTATTCATCCTTTAAGACCTGGCTTCTGTGTCACCTGAATGAAACCTAATTGGATTTACCACTGGATTCACCACCACCCCTCACTCCCCATTGCAATTAATCACTTCCCCCTTAGTTTGTAAGTCTTTAAGCTCAAATCCTGGTGCTACAGTTCATTGTGTGAACCTGTGAGACTATGAGCCCTTGAAGGCAGAGACTGGGTTATATACACTAGCACATAACTTAGCCCTTAGTACTTAGTAGGCCCACAGTGAACCTTCATTGAATTTGGTTTGATTATCTCCATACGTGTGATACAGAAAGAGGGAAAATATCATTCTTGCCATTTTTCTGAGGGACAACGTCAGCACAGATAGGATGACATGTCAGAAAAGACACGAGATGGGGCTTTGGGGGTGGGAAAGGATTCTAAATCCTGCCTCCATCCCCTCCACTAAGAATAAGGTTGGTGGAGGGCTGTCTCTCTATAGATTCAGAATGGGTGGTCTGGGCTGCTTATTGTATCAGCCTTGTTCTGGTGAAGACTAACTGATGGCTCATGTTTAAGCTCTTGAACTAGATTGAAATTTATTTATACTAGCATGGTGGTCAGAGCACATGCTTTGGAGTCATTCTGCCCAGATTCAAATCCGGTGCTATCTTTCTGTGCTTAGTTTCTTTATCTATAATGTGAGGTTAATAGTAGCTCTTACCTCATAGAGTTTTTGGGAGGATTAAATGATCTTCTAGTACTTAGATTAGTGCCTGGCACGCAACAGTGGTCAGTATATGTTAACTACTGTTACTTATAATTTATACTTTGTTTCCTTCCAACAAGAATTAGAGATAGCTTAGAATATTAAACCACATCTAAAAGAAGATAACTATGTGTATTTATATTAAAGATCAGAAACCAATTAATAGTATGAAGGAGAGAAATAAAGATAGGTATTTGCTAATGTGTTAGAATTAGCTATTTCATTGACCCCGAAGTTTCTCTCTGAGTTTCCAGGAAGCCAGTGCAAAGAAGGAATGTATGCATTATATAGTTGCCATTGTGAAATATAAGAAAGCATTCAGGTTAGTCTGTTAAAATAATGCATACATCCCAACACACACAGACACATACACACACATACTGAACTCAAAGAGGAATTTATGATGTTTTGGCCAATAGGAGCTTAGGAATCTGAAGTTACTCTCAGTTGGCACTGAGTAACATCCTCAGCTGGGCTTGAATGAGAGCCTATAATGACAACAGGAGTAATCAGAGAAAGAATAAATGGCTGTGATAATAACAGTCCAGTCCTTCCCACGTGTCCTTCTATGCTCAGCTCAGGGCTTCCTTCTCTCCCTCTTTGCTCAGGAGACTCCCCTGAGGTCAGGGGTTCAGTCCTGCTGAGTCAGACAAATAGGTGACTCCAGGTGTTTTCAGCATTAGAGTTGGTGGGAGCAAGGTGGGTGCCATGACAAAATCTCCTGAGGTGAGTGGAGAGAGGAATGAGACGTGTCCAAGGGAGTTCTGAGAAGGCTGAGCCCCTGAATCTGAGCAGATTGATGGTCTTAGTAGGAATGGGTAAGCTCCTAGAAAGGTAACAACTCCCTGCCTCCCAGGGTCTGATCAAAGGGAAATCTGCAAGCAAGCATCCTTACATGAAAAGCCTTGTGTGAGTCCAGGAGACCACTACCCCACTACCTCCAACCTGGCCTGGCTTAGGAGAAGGGACTCTGCTCAAGAAGTTAACACACAGAAGCTCTGAGCCCATGTCCCTGAATTCATAAAGAGGTTCAGAGGTGTGGGTGGGGGTTACAAAGAGCTTAATTACTCTGCAAAAGAAAACAGGAGGAATCTACAAGGAGAAAGGCAGAAACCCACGGCTTACAACAGTGAGTACTCACACATCAACAACATGATTTCTAAACTGATCTGACTGGAGAAAGCTGGGAGCTCAAAGACAGCAACAGTGATGAGAAAGAGCTCTCTCTCATGCTCCATGCCCGCTCCCAAAGGCATCTGGGATACCCTGAGGAAGAGCATGGGATCTCCCACAGATCTCATCATCACTCTTTGGACCAGTCTTAGCCAGTCTCTACAGAACAACCGACCTCAGCTGACACAGTTTCCTCTTCGGCAGCACGGCCTCCGGTGTTGCCCAAGTGTCTTACCTTTAATGAGGACAATCACCCCCAAAAGGGGGGCTCCCCCTGCCCTCTGTACAGTCTACTTCTCAACAACCCAGTGCCATCTTCCCTGGCAGGGAGGGGGTTTGCAGGGATCCCTGAGGTCAGAGGCGGGCAGGAAGAGTGGGAGAGTACGCACACGGCAGAGATTCGTTTGCCTTGTCTTGCCATGACTCACGCCATTTAAATATGGGTCATAAATCAACCACTTGACCCCAGGATGTAAACCCTTCATGTCCTTATGTCTTAGGGTGACCAAAGAAAGGAGACTTGGTGCCTACCTTTAGGGGTGGATGATGGCGGCTCTTCAGTCTGTTGTGGGAGAAATGCTTCCTGCCTTCAGGAAACTCCAAATCCTAAGCAGAGGAAGCTTGCACACCGCACAGAGGATACACATGCAAGGCAGCTGTGGACAGAGATACGTGGGCAGATGAGTATTGCACAAACACAGTAAGAAATGATGCAGGGGGTTGGAAGGAAGGTGCAGCAGTCATCTGGAAAGAGCTTGCTGGGGCTGGAGCTTCTGAGCCTGATCCGGGTTTGGAGTTCTTATTCGCACAGGCAGAAGACAGGCAGGTCCTGTACTATGTCTGGACCATATGAGGTGTTCACACAATGACTGCTCACCTGCTGGCTTTTGGGCAATTCTGGTTTCCCTTCCTGGCTTAACTGGAAGCCTCCTCTCAAGCATGCCCACCACACCCTTAAAACAGAGATGAAGAACCCCCATTCAAAGCCATGAGCACAAAGGAGGCAAACACCAGATGAGTTTGTTTACAAAACTTAAGCTTTTCAACAGCATCGAAGGGCATTCCCAGAGCAGCTCAGTGAGCCCAGGGCCAGGCAGGTTCTGGAAGCCCAGTCAGCACTGGGCCTCTGCTAGTCCCTTCCTCAGAAGGAGCACCTGAACAAGGTTCCTCCAGAGCACAAAGTCACCCCCCAGAATTCTGCACAGCACTTCACAGCGTACAAAGCTGATTTACACCAAGTGGAAGGCTCATGTGATCCTCACAGTTGCCCAGTAGGCAAGTATCCTCTACACCTTATGGACAAGGAAACTGAGGCTAGAAGCCATTATGAGGCTTAAGGTCGCCCAACAGAGGAACGGCTGTCCTTTCGACTTCGCCACACCGGCCTCCGCATCACAGCCTCCTGGCCTTGGGCTTTATGGGCCCAGGGCACTAAGGAACTCTCCCAGGGCATCTAGTAAAGGCCAGTTTGTCTGCATTTCCCTCTTGCTCTGAGCTTTCGGGAGCCACCCGGAGGGAGGCAGGAGATAAGGTCTGGGGAGGCTGCCCACCCGGGCTCTCCAGCAGTCGGGAGGCGGCTGGGACGCCACGTCCTCGCTCCCGGCCCGCTCGCCTGACACGGCCCGGGAACTGTTTGGAAGAGGGCGGCCGGGCTGCGACCGCGGGCGGCTGCCGCCCCGCCGGCCCCCCGGAGCTCGCGCCCATATTAGGGCAGCGCTGCCCGCGGCCGGGCCGTGACGCGCGGCGGCCACGTCAGCGGGCGCGCGGGGAGGGCGGGCGCCGCGCAGGAAAACAAGTGACGCCACGCGGGACGGGGTGGGTAGGGAGAGGGGAGGGGGAGGGGCGGGGGGAGGGGGGCGGCCGGGGCCCACCTGGGCCGCGCGCCGTCTGTGTAAATGCGGGGGCAACGCGAGGGCAGGGGCGCGAACGCTCTGTGTGCCCGGGGCGCGGGCACTGTGTCCTGGCGCCCCCGTCTGTGGCACCCGGAGGGCTTGCGGTCCGCTGTGCCCCAGAGCGCCCGGATGTGTACTGCGCTCGTGGGCGCTTTTAAAAAGTCGGGAGACACACGGGGAACTTTGCCGGGGGGCTGTTTGAAGACAAGCACCCCTCTCCGTCTTTTTCCTCGTTAAACACCAAAAACACCCAGGGCGCCTGTGCTTCCGGAGACTCCCAGTCTGCTCTGAGGACTGGCATCCCTTCACCAAGTGCCTCCCACTCCCAGGGGCCCCGCCAAGTCAAATAAAAGGAGGTCTGGCCTAGGGGTGACCAAGGAGAAGCCTAAAAAAGGAAGTTTTGGGGATGCCTCGTGCTGGCAGAGGCCAGGGAAGCAGAAAAGGAAGAGGAACCACCAGGCGGGAGGCTCGGGGCCCCCGTTTCAGCCGGTCCCTTCGCAGCAGCCTCACGGGGGCGGGTGGCGCTGGCTCTGAGTGCGGGGTGCTCGGGGGCAGCCCGTGGAGCTGCGCCTCAGAGGCCCGGCCTGCCTCTCCTGAAACGGGTGGGTGGGCGAGGGGGGCAGGAGGCAGGGAAAGGACTCCAAGAAGGGAGACGGGAGCGCTGCAGAGAGGGTGTGCGAGGCATTGGACAGGCAGGAAGAGTCGGAAACCCAGCCGGGGGCACAGCCTTGGGGGCGAGGGGAACTTGGCTGCCCAGCCCGAGGGAGGAGCTCATGCACGGGAAAGTCCCAGGCTCCCCAAACCCCTTCCCACCCACACTCGGGCCCACTTCCTCTCTCTGCTTCCCTTGGTAGAATTGTCTGGGTGGAAACCTCACCCACCTCAAGATCCGGGTGCAGTGAGAGAGGCAGACTTGGGGGTACGGGAAGAGATAGGGCGCCCCTTTGGGTTTGTCTCACAAACTTTGGTTCTCCACTTGGCGAACCCTCCCTTCTCTGCCTCGGCTCCTACTCCCACCCCTCCCCACCCGTGTCCCTGTTGTGGGGTTTTACAGCTTTGGGCATCTTGTTCAGAGCTCACTGATGGCTTTCCCTTTACGCATAATTCTCATGGTTGTTTAATTCTGACTTCCTTTACGAACCGTCTCCAGGGCAGGAAATAGGTCATAATCATGCAGGGCACCTAGTAGGAGTGCAATAAAAGCCAAAGTTCCCCTTCATCTACCAGCAAACCCTAGGGGTGGAGGCCAAAAGTAGGTGGCCTCAACAGAGTTTGTGGGAGGCAGGCTTCTGTTCTCTGGAAGGGAGCAGTTGTGGGGGGAAGGCAGGACGGAGCAGGGAAGGGGAGCCGTCCTGGCCCTGTTCAGACCCAAGGATTTCTGCTGTTCCCAAAGCCCAGGATCACTCCTATCTCTGCAGGGCGACGCAGTGCCAACTGGTCTTACTCTAGGTTCCCAGGGCTGGGAGATGCCCGGCCACTCCACTGCTCCTGGGAGAGGCGCAAACATCCAGCTACAGGGAAATCTTGGGGTTAAGAGCTCCACTTCCTTAGGGCTGGAGCAGAAACCCAAGCCCCGCCCCCTGCCTGGGTCACCCATTTCCTCCTCTGCTAGTTCAGGGAAACAAAGAACATCTAGCGTCTTCTTGATTGGCTTAAAAATGAGAGGCCGGCTTTATCTCTTGTCTGGAGTCCACAGACCTCAAGTACCGCCAGGATTGCCCCCAGCTAGACCTTGCTCCCAGTGACAGCAACCCCTAGACGAGCTGTAGCCCCTGGGGCTCCTTGCCTGCCTCTGAGCTACTCCCTTCATCCTGGTGGTCTCCCACCTCGGCCCCTGAGTGCCTGTGGCTGCCCCTGCTGCTGGGTGGCCACCGGCCCGCATCAGCATGGGCCCCGCACACTCAGTTTTTAGCACAACTTTGCGCCCGCAGCGGTCCCTGCATGAGGCTGGAAGGAAGCTGCCACTGTAGAAGTCCACGCTCCAGGCGGGCTGACCCTTCACACTGAGATTTCGCGGGACCTCCCCAGGCACACTGCTGTGTGAGGGACAAGGTGAGTCCCAAGCCCTGAGTTCATGCCGCTCTGAAACTCCCCGAACCTCAGTTTCCTCATCTGAGAAATGAGGGCGGCAACACCTGCTTATGGAGTAGCTACCAGGGTCAAATGAGATGCAGTTGTGAATTGTGCCTGTGTCACACACGTGCTGTTATTCCTGCTTGCCACCCCACAGGCCCCAGGGTCATCACCAGCTGTCATTTCCACAAGGAGCCCTCCTTCCTCAAACCCAAATAAAGTCTCCCCTCCTTGAGCAGCTGGGTGTACCCCACTCTGTCTCCTCAGGGCTTATCTACTCAAACTGAGCCAGAGAGGTGCACCTGTTGCTTGGAGGGTGCAAAACCCTCATGTCTTTTCCATGGTTTGTGTGCTGGTCTTATCTGCTCCTGCCCTCTTCCTACCACCAAGAGAATAAAAGCTGTGTTGAGCCGTGGCCACACCTCTTGGTTCCCCCACCACACAGGGTCACCCTGAGTGCACTGACCTGAAGTGTGCACCTGGAAGAGGGCATAAAGCCAGTTGGCTCCCTTGGGTCAAAACTTTATTTCTGCCACATAGGACTTTGTAGATAAATCATTCTCTGGCTATAGAGCAGTTTTGTGTATTTTTCCTTTATGGCTCAAGCTAATTTGGAATTCATTGTGCAAAAAGGTAGCCGCCTGCAGGAGGAACCCAGAGAACTGAGAAGAGCCAGGCCATGGGGAGAGGGACAGGGAAGACCCTCTGTCTAAAGAAGCGTAGAGGTCTCAGGTTTTCCGCTCTGGGCAGTGTCTCAGAGGTGTGGAAGGCGGCAAGCCCACCCAGTGGCTTGCTGTCTGAAAGCTGACTGCCACCGCCCGCAGTCAGTGGGCTGCCTGTGCTGCTGGGGCAAGTGAGCTTCTGAGAAGCCCTGGCCAGATAAATAGCTAGATGTTCCAGGGAGCAGAAGGTTCTGGATACAGGATGGCTTTATTCCTATCTTATCAAGCAGACCTTGAACTGGGAAGGAGAGGGATTTTGAATCTCCCTCTGAAGGTCCAGAGAAATTTCCTTGGGGTTGATCATTGTAACAAGAGTTCTTCCTCTCCCAGTAAGCTCCCTAGAGGGGTCTTGTCTAACAGAGCCAGAACTGTGTAAGGAGGGGCCGGGGATTCAGGCTGCTTGTGTTCAAACCTTAGCTTGATCACATTACCTAATAGTCTCTGTGCCTCAGTGTCTTCATCTGTGAAGTGGGAATTACAAGAGTATTTGTCACATAGGATTGTTTATAACTAATGAGGTAACACCTCATCCACCTAACATTTAGGGCTCAATAAATACTGTTATTATGGGAAAGGACTTTAAGATGCTTTCTAGTCCATTTCTCTGCTATTCCTGTGAATCAACCCAGCATATATATATATATATATATATATGTATGTATGTATGTATTTCTCCTGGCCTCTGAACTCCAGGCTTAGCAAGGGAAGAAGTCTCAGTCCCTTCTGGGGACCATGAAAATATCCAGGAGCATTCATCAGCAACAATGGGGTGATGACAGCCACTCTGGGGGACTGGGAGGTAGGAGGCCTGAGAATCTTTCAGTGTAAGAAACCTGCCTGCTAAGTATCCCTGACTTGATTCATTCAATCCTTCAGCTGCCAAATATGTTTTATAGTGTTTATTTCCCAGACCTTCCACATTTATTGTGTTATTTAATCTGCACAATGACCTCACAGAATAGGCTGTAAAGATATTATCAGAGAGACCGTCTGGTACCAGGTCTCCCGTCCTGACACCCTGCTCTAGCAGGCTACTCGGGAGTAAGGAGGGTCCCCAAACAGCTTGGCCCTGGACTACTCCACTGGGGAAGCTGGGAGGTGACTTCAGGGGGCACAGTTCAGGGCCCCACAGTAATAGAATGACTAACAACAGGTGATTCAGTGGGTTATTTGGAGGCAGACACTAGGCAGGAATAGGGCTGGTCCTCTCCCCTCTTGAAACACTCCCACTTAACCCCTGACCTTCCAGAGCCCAGGAAGTACATGGCACTATTGCTGGAACCAAAATTTGCAAACATGCAATTCCAGGTGCCCTGGGGGTCACAGTGCTGGCCTGGACATAGGGAGAGCCGCCAGGGTCCAGGTGTACCCTGACCTGACTCTGTGTGACTGGGGGGTCAGTCACATGGTCCTGCCCTGCTCACAGGGCAGGGATGGAGCCTGTCATCCCAGCCTCAGCTCTCCAGCACGGAGGGGCGTTGGGAGCCTGGTGAGCTGTCAGGCTCTGCTGACAACTTGCTGGGCCTTGTTCCCCAGCATTATAAAGGGAGGGTGTCAAACCAACTGTACCTCTGGTTCCGGTGAGCTTGGGCAGCCTGTGATGACTTACTCTGTACGAAATGACCTCGATTCCTTCCATCTTGTGTCATTTGCCTTCAGTTTGTGGGTCTCATTTACATCCTTTCAAAGTTTTTTTTTCAATTCAGTTCATCTCAACATTCTCCGGAAACCAGTATATGCAGAACATTGAGCTGGAGCCTGAAGGTCAGTGGTGCCCAAGGGAGCTGCTTCCCAGGTGCTTCTGGTCTACTGGGGGCAGACGAGCAAACTGGTAATGAGACCAGGGGGCAGAGGAAAGATCCCACCAGGCCAGAGAGGGTCTCCCTCGAGAGACATAAGTCTGGAAAGAAACTTACCCTCTTTCAGGAGGAAGCAGAGGGGGTCTAATTTTTAGTAATGACTTCTCTTGGCCAAACACATGCTAGGTAACTTACAGCTGCTATTTCATTTCATCCTTACAACAACCTTTATAGC